CTTATTTTCATCATTTTTTTGTTCCCTTTCCCCACCTCCTCCCCAGTTGTCTACCATGTGCATCCCTGCATTTGATCTGGTCCCTTCCATACTACCTGGTCCTCGCATGTGTACTGTATATCTTTTAGAGACTTTTTTTCAGCCTACCACAGCAGGTCAATCTAATAGTATACTATGCATGCTTTTTTTAGCCTTCTAATAATGAAAATATATAATAAATATGTGTGAATTAGTCTGAGAATACTTTTTAAAAACCACAGTACTGTGGATGGAATAAGATATATTCCATCTTTTCCCTCTATATATATAGAGGGATATATTCCATATATTCCCTCTAAGAAGAGGGAAGTGTATATACTGATGGAGTCATATTCACGATAAAGTGTAGGCATGCTTCAGTTTATTGCATTTTGCGGAAACTGTGTTTTTTTTAAATTGAAGATTTGTGGCTAGCTTTTGTTGAGCAAGGCTATTGGTGCTATATTTTCTAATGCCATATGCTCACTTTGTCTCTCTGTGTTGCATTTTGGTAATTCTCAGGTTTCAACATTTTTTTGGTGAGGGATGTGCTATTACAAATTTAATACACTGTAGTTTGGATGAACATAGCATTTATATGCATTGGGAAACCTAATGTGACTCTTTATTGCAGTATTTGCTTATTGCAGTGCTCTAGAACTGAACCCACAGTATTTCTAAGTTAAACCTGTACTACAAGAAAGCATGTTGCAAAAGTGCTTAAAGTGAGGTTAAAATGTGGAAAGATACAAGTATGTGTCAAACTGAAAATTGTCTTCTCCGGGGAGGGATGGGAAGAATAGGAGGTCAGTGTCGATGTGTGGTTTGAACTGTTGAGTTCAGAGTTCACAGTCTGAAATGTAAACCCTCCACCTAATCTTTTTATGTTTTATTTTTTTTTACACTTGGAAGCTTTTACAAAATCAAGCATATACTTTATAATTAATCTAGAAGAAAAATAAGTTTGCATTTAACTTTTCTAGATGAATTGCTTTGCAGAAATACTTTCTGGTTTGTTTTCTAGATCGTAGACCCTACATTAGCTGAAATGGGAAAAAACTTGAAGGAGGCAATGAAGATGCTAGAGGAAGGTCAGAGGTAAGTGGAAGCACCCTTGGGAAACATGTTCAACCTGCTGTAAAACTGGAGGTGCTGGCTTCCTTCTGTTAAAGATACCTCTCGATTTCAGAATGGCTCCTTTGCTTCTAGCCCACTTTGAAAGTTATACTTGTCATACAAGGTGGTTTATAATTAAAGGATTTTGAAACTGAGGGGAAGGACTTATAATTCTAGTCTATTAAGAGTTTCATTTACTTAATATATGAAGTCTATATGTACTTCTTACTATTTAGGTCATGTGAGGCATTAACAAATTAAGAAATGAGTTGAAATATTATTATTATTTATGGTATTTTCTTTTCCTGAAATTCAAACTATACCAAATCTGGCGACTGATGGGGGATGTAGTCAATGTTTTATTTTTTTAATTTAATATTTATTTTTTATTATGGATTAGGTATATGGTTTATATTTCAGACTGTCAACTCTGAAGTCAACAGGTCAAACCACACATCAACCCCCATCCCCATATTCTTATCCCACCCTCTCTCCCTGAAGATCTCTTTTCCTTCCTATGAACTTCTGCCCTTTTTACTCCCATGTCTATACTTGTTAGCCTTCTAGTCCATTGGTTCACCTTCCTACCCTTCCCAGTTGATTGAGGTTGCGCTATATCACTTTCCACAATGGTTGTACATATTTACAGATCCATCGACAGTGGATCAGATTTCCAATCTCTCCACAGCCGCTCCAGCCTTTGTTTTCGTTTCTTTTTTTTTTTTTAATTTTAAGGGGGCTGTCATTGTTGGTGTAATGATATATAATTATTGTTTCGGTTTGCATCTCCCAGATGGCTAGTGATCATGAACTTTTTTTCATGTGTCGTCGTCTGTTAGCCATTTGAATGACGTTTTTCGTGAACTCTGTTTATATCTTTTGCTCAAAAGTTGGATTACTTTTTTTTTTCTTATTGAGATATTCCAGTATTTTTTTACGTTTATTTTTATTCATTTATCTATCATTTTATTGGGGAGCTCTTACAAATCTTATAACGTTCCATCATTCAATTGTATTAAGCACACTTGTACTTATGTTGACATCAACATTTCCAAAACATTTTTTTTCTACTTGAGCCCTTGATATCAGCTCCTCTTTGTACCCTGCCCTTCCTCCTACCCTCCTTGTGTATCCTTGATCAATGATATATTATTGTTGGATATTCTAGTATTTTATAGAATTTAATATTCTTTGACCCTTTATTGAAGATCAGTTGCGTGTAGTTGGGTGAATTTATTTCTCGGCTTTCAATTCTGTTCTGTTGCTCTATGTAACTACTATTGTACCAGTACCAGACAGTTTTGACTACTGTGGCTGTGTAATGGGTTTTGAGGTTGGGTAATGCAAGGATTCCCACTTTGTACTTCTCCTTGAGGAGTTCTTTGCCTATTCTGGGTCTTTCTTGCTCATATAAAGTTAGTAATTGGTTTTTCCATTTCTTTAAAGAGTGAAGTTGGGATCTGGATCAGAACTATGTTGTATTACAGATTTTTTTTTAGTAGTATTGACATTTCTGTGATGTTAAGCCTTCCCATCCATGACCATGGGGTATACCATTTGCATGGGTCTCTTGATTCTTTATAGTAGTGCTCTGTACTTTTCTTTGTACAGGTCTTTTGTTTCTCTGGTTAGGTTTATGCTGTTTTTTATCTTTTGTGTGGCTGGTGTAAATGGTGTTTTCTTGATGTTGTTTTCAGAACTCTTCATTAACATACAGGAATTCAATTGATTGTTGTGTATGAATCTTGTATCCTGCTGTGCTTCCAAATGTTTTCATTGTTTTGGGGACTTTCTACATATAAAATCTTATCATCTGCAAATAGTAAGGGTTTCACTTCTTTGCCCAATTGTATTCCTTTGATTTCTTTTTGTTGTCTAACCAGTTCTGGCTAAAAACAATGTTAAGAGTGGTGATAAAAAGTGTATCCTAGTCTGGTTCCTTTTCACATGGGGAATGTTTTTCCTCATTTGTTGTGATGTTTTAGCCATTGATTG